GCTAGCATACCTTTTTCCAGCGCAAGTGCCATCTTTGTGGGCGTTTCCCCGACAATCAAGTTCCTCGCACGGGCTCGAACGATTGTCCCTTTATATTTCTCTCCATCTATTTTCTCAGGCTTGCCTTTGATAGTGCTTATGTCGTCTCTGAAGGCTTCTGGCGTTCTTTCCTCCTCTACATAAAGCATTTGTAAATCATATCGAAGACCGTTCTCTACCCTTCGCCTTTCCCGCTTTATGTTAGTTGCTCCTTCAATCGCATCAATCTTAACCTGGTGTTTAAATAGTTCCCACTCCTCACATATGTTATTTTCTGAAACGCCTTCTAGTCTGCCTAGCTTACTTTCGATTTTTCCTATCAATTCTTGGTCCTCGAGGAGCTTTGCGTTTAACTTCCACAACTCCCCCGAAAAGCTAGATTGTTTCTTATGCTGACTCCAAGGGTAACGTCACCAAGCTGTGATCGCTGAACGAGACATGACTGACCGCGAAATCGTTACACTGGGGTACTAAATCCGCTGAAACATAAACCCTGTCAAGCCTGGCATGACCTCTGCCTTGGTGGCGCGTGTAAAGGACCCGATGTCTCAGTGTTATACACGGTACCAGGTCTTCGAATCCGGTATCTTGAATAACCTGATTTAAAACTTCAATTGACCTATCACTATTTCGTCTCTGATTTATCCGGTCTTCTGGCATACAGACACAATTGAAGTCTCCAGCAACATCGTAAACCGGTAACTGATTACAAATTGGTCAGTACATTCAAAAAAGGCTCGTCGCTCACTCTCCACGTTTGGCGCATAAAAGCACATAACCCTCCACTTTTGATTTAGGAAAAAAAATCGCAGAGAACAAGCTTTCCCGATTCACACGACACAACATTCTCTTCGATGAGCCCAGCAGCTCTCCTCAAGAGCAGACAGCATCCTCCAGATTTACCTACAGCATGGCTGACGCAGACATTGTACATCGACGTAAACGGTTTCACCAAAAACTCTGCCTGACTTTCACTCTCGACCTTCGTGTCCTGAACCGCGAAAACGTCTTAGTTCCTCTCAAGAAGAAGGCGACTCAGCTGACACTGTCGGCGGCGTGCCGCAAGTCCCTTGACGTTAAGGGTCCCTATGCGCAGACCAGACGTTAGTTGTGCGTTGTGCCGTTTTATTGCGTCAGACCCTGCTTCCAGCGATTACCCTTCGCGTCATACCGTACCAGGGTCGGTACTCGCTGCGACAGACCCCCATCGCGGGTCAGCGACGAGGACCGCACTTTGCTGACTTAGCGACCCTTTTTTCCAATCAGCTGAAACTCCCCCTCTGACCACTCTGCACCGGTGCGACATTTTTCGGAGACTCGTCGTCCAGTCGCCGCTTCACCTTTGAGGTATCCAGTTCCATGACTGATTCACACTGGATGGCCGCTGTTTCGGGACCGGAGCTTCCCATCGCCATTACCACCACTGCCTGTGGTGAAGATATTCCAGTCGTTGTCGCCTGCCCCTCTTTTTCGTTGGCTTCAGGAGCCCTCTCTGTGCGCTTCCCGTCCTGGAATGTCGCCTCCACCTCTTGTCATCATGTCCTTTGGCTGTCGCCTTGTCCTGCTGTGCCCTTTCAGATGGCGTCGACGATGTTGCGGCCTCCCCTGCTTCCACCTCATCCATGGTGAGGTCGCATCCCTCGTCGCTCGCTCGACTGACTGCAGCACTCGCGTACGTCCGTGCACAGTCTTGGGCCACGTGGCCGAAGCCACGGCATTGTCCGCACCGATGTACACGGCAATCGCGTCGTATGTGACCTTGCCTTCGGCACCGTAGACATAGCGGTGCCCGCCCGGGTACGACAACGAGGATCGTGCCCCCTCAAGCCCTAGCTGATGAGGTAGGCTCTCCGGCGTCTTGCCTTCCTTGAGTGTCAGTTTAGCGATCTTGGTGGTCGACTCGATGTCTTCGAAGCCTTCCACTTGCCACTTGTCCTTGGTCACCCCGTGAACTGTGCGTACTCGTCCAGCGCCTTCCGCAGAGTGCCGTAGGACACGTTGAACGAGACCCAATCTATCTTTTCCCGAACTCCCTGCCGGTTGGGGTCTACGGGGACGCACAGGTTTCCCTTCACCGTGAGCCGGCCTATCTGTAGTAGTCGTTCTTTCGCTGCCGCACTTTTTAAGTTGCAGAGCCACACGCGTCCCATTTGGCACACACCGAGCCCTGCTACATCCTTACGAAGGTCCGCTTTTTCCAACGGCGTTTTGAAGTCGACGATCCTTATTGGCTTGGCGTTTACATCGCAGTGATGGTAGACTTGGTTTTTAGAGCGCAGCTCTTAGGCGCCCGTTTCCGGCTTGAGCGGCGTCGCTGTCGCCGTCGCCGTCGGCGTCGGCGTAATCGCGCGGTGCATTATGGTACGCGTGACATCACTGGTGACGTCACTGATGACGTCATCAGTGATGTCATTATGATCACGTTATCGCGATAACTTCATCCTCATCGTCGTCGTCATCATCACGATGACGTCACTGATGACGTCATCAGGGCACCGATGATGTCATTACTGGTGACGTCACTGATGACGTCATCAGGATGACGTCATCTTAAGTGTCATCGTAATCATCACGACGACATCACTGATGACGTCATCAGTGACGTCATCCTCATTGCCCTCGTCATCATCACGATGAAGGTCACTGATGACGTCATCCTCATCGCCATCGCAATCATCACGATGACGTTATTGATGACGTTATCAGTGACGTCACTGATGATGTCATCACCGGTACGCTGTTGCCGTCGGCATCGGCGTCACCGTGGGGTCACGCTACCCCCTCAGGTCACGTGGCCCTCCCTGAGGTCACGTGACCCCCTGAAGTCACGTGACCTCACGGGGGCCACGTGGCCCCTGTGAGACCACGTGGCCCCCGTAGCGGAGTAGCAGGCAGGATAACGTGGTGGGAAAAAGGGAGAGGGATATACCCACCCCTCAGTACAATTCCATCCTCCTCCTCAAGAGCTGCGCTCTAATTCGACTTTACAGGAAATTGCAAACGGCTTTCACTTTTTTTCCCTTGTCTCCAGGCGGCAACGTCGGCAGCATGATCCGATAGTCGGCAGGGATGCAAACAGGCTAGTCACCACGGCCGGTGTCGGCCGTTATCACCTCGCTATCAGAGCGATCGCCATCGCACGTGCATACTCTTCGACTGCCGAGCGCTGACTCGTTAGGCCACGAGCTCGCTGAATATCTGGTCGGCTGCGCGCGCGCCAATATTGCCGTGTGCAAATAGCTGAGTAAACAGCGTGCTCGACTCCAAGCCGCTGTCTGGGGCTTAGTCCTTGCCAGCGCTTGTTCTTTATATATATATATTTTTTTTTTTTGTATAACTGGGATGATTCGAGAATATCGTTTTTTCGTGCTCGGAAACTTCTAGATACCAACGTGCTTAAAAAAGGAGCATCGCAAGGCTGCTTGAGTCAGTCGTCCTTCCATCTCTGTCAAAGTACGCACGCACCTTGTTACTTTATGTTTCTCCGCACAAGGTCGCTGCATTAAACGTTCATTTTAAGTTTTATTAATCAAGTATATGGTTTTACTCGTGTCAATATTGTTCGGGCACAGCCTTTTTTTCAAAAAATCGATCGAACCAATCCGAATTTTCCTTTGAGATATTCTGAATAAATAAATATTTAAATCTTTAGACATCGCATTAAGGAAATTGAATGGCTAGATTCAATACAACTCCTAGATCATATAACTAAATGCGTCCGACGAGCATCGCGGGAAAGTGACAGGATAGATTTAATGCACCACTAGACGCAGCTTTATTCTTAGCCACATCCGCCGGTGGTTACGTTTATAAAATACTCAATTATTGTTTATGCTCCGTAGATAAGTGCAGCCTGTTATTCTTGTTCATAAGTAAGAGTGTTAGTATAAGTAAGTGACTGTCTTGAAATACCTTACCTGTGTACACTGTATTAATTGATCGTTAATTTCTCCTATTTATTCGCACAACTTAAAGGCTCTCACCCAAGCTGTTTTTCTCTGTCACCGTGCCTGTTCGTCGATACCTCGACAATCGGATCATTGCAATTACTTTTTGTATTGCTTCTTTGTGCCAACTACTCCACCTGTGATGGTCGCCTAGTAATGGACACTTCACAATAAAGGCAAAGCGCCATGGGAACAAACGTGAGAATCCCAAAAGCAAATTCCATCAAACGATGCTACATTAAAAAAATTATACATATATAAAAATTGATAGTTTCCTCATGGAAAAAAGGGCGTCTTTTTTAATAAACAAAATGTTTGAGTAAACTGTGCTTATTTTCAAACATTTTATTCCAAATACTATTTTAAATATTTTATTATCTTGTTTCTACGTGATGGTGATCTGTATCATTGTTATGATAAAATCTTAGATCAAGCGTCAAGTCATTTTTATAGGTTCATCATGCAATAGGGTAATGTATATACTAAATTGTCAACGCACTTTTTGTATAAAAAAAACACCGGCTGGATTTAAAAAAAAAATATTAGAGGGCAATCATATTGCCGCCCGCAGGGCTGAGAAAGCAACGCTCGGTCACGGACCTCCAGAAAGTTCTCGTTTATTCATGTACCGCACGTAGCTTCTATCATTTATCCCTGCTTTAGTTGTTCCAGAAAGTGCGTGTTCATCATTCTCGCCCCGAGCGCGCTACGCTCGAACCTTCTCCGCCGAATCTTCGAGATAGTGACTCACCTTAGATAAGAGGCCGCCCGCGACCTTGTCGAGTCAGTCTCGCCCCAGCGTTCGACTCTGCTGTCACGCCGACTTCGACGCCCGCGACGCTCTGTTATTACCTTTTGTACCCTTTTTATTTTTGGCACAAGTTCGCCACATTAAACGTTTATTTCTTTTTGTTTATTTATTGTTTTTGGTCACCACCCGTGACAATATGCAATTCATTAAGTCAGGTTTTTATTAGCTTTCGTAGGAGTAAACTTAACCTAAAAACCGAAAAGAAATTGGAATGATTATACATCCATCACCGATGCTACTGAACACATTCAGTATATTTTTTCGAGTTCTTGGTTACTTTCGTGTTTATGCTTCCTCTGCAAAAATTTGTGTCAGAGGCGTTGCATTATCGATGCTCGGATCTTCGAGAGGATTTCCTAAATCTCCTAAATTCGTGATGGTTATGCAGATACCATTGGGTTCATTGCCGTGATGTACACATACACAATCTTCGTTGCACCCGCTCGAGACTCCATTTTCTACCGTACACTGAAAAAAAAGGATAATATACAATTCATGCTTAAAGCATATATTTATATTATTTATAAATAAACTCTACACTATAGCTAATTGTGGTAATAATGTCTCAACCTCTAGTGATTTTCTAAATATAAATTTTTGCCCCTCCCTAAAATGGTTTTCTTCAGTTGCAGTTCAAAAATTTAAGACAGCTACATATAAAGGCTCGATCTCCTCCGTAGCACATGAGTGGTATTGCTTGAAAAAACACATTTAGAGTACCGCTGAACATTATACTAATCATACATAAAGTCAAGATATCACAAGTGACCTGCTAGTGCATACACTTTGTGTAGTCGGTTTAACACAAAGATTTTTTTTGAAACGATACGAAAACGCCACAGATACAAATTGTAGTACTAATGAAACCTGTCAACACGTGTTGTATACGCTATTGCATCCAGTGTTTACAATTTTTAGTTATACCGACGATTTAGCTTTCCGCCTTTCATTACAGAGTGTGTTATCATCCCTTAAAATACAGACGCCTTCTTCTAAGATATTAGCTGGACGACGATCATAAAAAATACACATTTAATTAAAAACAAAATGTTAACAGATCTATTAGTTAAGCTGTAGTTCCATAGCAACAGATATGCAGTAATATTTTTACAATGTACCTATTTGTTTTACCCTTCAGACAGCTGCCGCATTAAGGAACAAACTAAAGAAACAAGCCTCTGAAATTTTAAAAAAGATCTTGCTAGAGCCTATAATTATTAATCCTGGAGAGAGCCGACCCTTAATACTGACTAAACGGAAAAAGAATTGTGAGCGTCCGTTTTGAACAAGGGATTTACGCCGTTTCATTTTCGTTCTATGATCAAACATATGCGAGTAAAATCACCGTTCCCTGGCGGTTTTATTTACGCAGAATGTACCAACTAGAGACCTTACCATTCTATTGAGAGAATTTAATAATTTGTGCGACTGCGCTATCAAATAATGCACGGTATACTATACCATTTATTCACGTCGGGAGCAGTCCAGTGAAATCGAATATATTATTCTATTAAACTAATGTAAAACATAAAGGATGGCATAGGAACTTTCATTTTATGTCATACGACTTACGTATCGTGTACAAATTTAGGAATGTTTATGGAAAATACATATCAGAACATTATTATCTATATGTTTTAGTGTGCAGCTCTTATGAACACAAATATAATGTAAATATTGCACTATAGAAACTTGTTTTTTGTGTATTAACGCATTTATGCAGATCAAATGTTATTACTCACTTTCAGCAGTTTTGAATAAAAAAAAAACAGAAACCACCGATAGACGCAATATTTCTGTTTCGTGATTGTTTAAAACAATTAAACTCTTAGTACCTCAAATTTTCAAACTGATATCGACTGCGAAAGTGCATGGCCTTGAATACTCTGTTGGAATTACACTTAGTTTTTAATAATAGGTTGATGAGCTTGTCTAACAGCGATAAACTAAAACATAAAGATTTAGGCCACAAAAGCGTAATTTCTTCGCAAAACTTTGTTCGACAAAGAATGGGTTTGTGCATCGCGCGATACACAATTCGCACTTACAATATAACTCGGGCTCCGTGTTTCCGGAGTTTATTTTTAGTGAAATTCGGAGGGTGTTTTTCGGAGTTTATTTTTTTAGCCGAAATTCGGTGTCTATCGGAGTTTACTTTTCGTAAATCCCCAGTTTTTCGAAATTCGGAGAATAATTTTGCAGTGTTTCCTTTTAAAAAATAATAAATAATAACCGGATGCAAACGTAAGCCAGATAAAAAATAAAACGAGCTCGTATCAATTAAGATTTCTTCAGTTGAATTTGGCGTTGGTGCCATTGACATTGAGAATACTAATTTATCCACGACAAAAGTCACACACAAGTGGCGCTTCGATAAACGTCGATACCTTAAAATCAATAAACTGCCGGAGGTGGCCGCAAGGAAGCTCGTAGTCATCCCATCAATTTATCCCGCGGCCGCGCGAGCTGGAGTGATTAAAGATGTAATAGAGAAGTTTCCACTGCCCCTCTTGCCTATTTTATGCAATCTCCATGGTCCATAGCTTTCACTGTTACCCCCAGAAACATACGCACTCCTTTCTCTAAATCCCAAACCCCATTACCCAAACTCGAAACCAAAAGAGTGGCTTTTGTCGTGACACGAATGTTACGATGACCTGTTTTCCTGAACTAATCTTCAAGGGACAAGCCGTAAAACCCCCTTTTGACAACGAGGGGGGGAAGGGGGGGGGGGGGGGCGGGGGGGTTTGCATAGGCACATAACCATTCGGCGTTTATCGGATAAATCCGAATTGACAAAAACTTCACCGGCGGGTGTTTTTCGGAGTTTTTCGGATTTATCCGAAAACACGGAGCCCTATATATAACCCACCTAATCAAATTATCGTATAACGCATTTATAGTTACATATTTCTCTATACGTACATAGAACAGCCTTTGATACAGGAATAAGAAAATACTGATGCATTTGTTATCATCCTTAATAAAAAAAAAAACGTATATAAGAAAGAAGTGGTAGCCCTCAACTCGCAGACAATGCCACAACGGCGATATATATATAAAAAAAAAACAATAAGGAAAGGATTTCCCCTGATATACGTATTCGCTTATTATTTAATTTTATATCTGAAGATTCTAAAAAAATAAAATATGAATGGTTAGGACAATTTTGTCATGTTTAAAATCAGTATTAAAATAATCCGCGCTATCTAGACCTAAAGCAGTAGCGTCAGTCTGTAATCATTTTCGGGGATGAACAGGTGTAGCGCGTATCGTTGAATAGAATAGGATTGTATTTGTAATAAAGTGTTGCTCCCCATGTCAAATAAATATTAAGCATTTAATTATGTATTTGAATATTATCGTTATTTTAAGTGTTCTTCAATGTGAACATGATTTGTTTAGAAATGGTTCAGACAATGAAACGCTATTTGAAATCCGTAAAATAGTCACAAGTACAGTACAGCTAAATCCATTGTGTTCGCAGCAGAATGTACATACAGCATAATAATATTTTTATAAAAGTTTCGATGTTGAAACGACAAGAGCAAACTCCTTTTAAAGTTTGGTAGCACATAAAAACTGCGGGAATCGGGGTCATTTCCTATTATCAAACTTCGTTGAGTATAAACGCATCACGGGACGTTCTTAAGGTTTGACTCTGCCCAACGATCACAGTGGGTTGTCAATAAGATAGCTCCGTCCTTTCGGAACATTTTCTTCATGATCGGTCGGAGCGTCATATTGGATGTTCGAGAAAAATGCGTGAGGGGCACAGTAGGAACGCACTGAAGGCTTGGTGGCTTTTTATGGTTCAGGTCTGGCGCCTGTGTTTCCTGCTGTATCGGTGTCTGTCCTCTCGTTTGTTCATGACGGCTGTCAGCCGCGGCTTTCATGATATCCTTTCATCGGTCAGTTGGAAGCTGTGTTGTGTTTCTACTCCGACGAAGCAGTGCTCGAATGACCGCTCACTTAGGGGGACGGTCCGCAACGCCATCGCTTAGCAGAGACCCTCTCGAAGGCCCGGAATCAAGGCTTTCGGACATTGGCCGAAGGGACTAACGACAACGGGTCTTCGTCTTCCTCTTTATCCACCATCGAGAGAAGCGGCTGCCGCGGCGACATAAACGTCCGGGCCAATGAGGGTGGCTGTTGGACTTCATCTTCATCGAAGCCAACAGCCACCACCAATCACACCAGGATCCCGCCGGTGACGGAACATCGTCACGTCCCCGCGGCAAATATTAGGGGAACCTGCGGACTCGCTTTGCGGAGACTAAATGGGACCTGCCATCGGAGCCCAAGATTATCTAATCATGTCCCATTCAAACATCTCCACCATTATAGTCCAAGCCCGGTTCCCAGTCTGTCCGTTACTCAGTTCCTAATAATGTATATATATGTGTAAAGAGAGAGAGAGAGAATGATAAATATTTTTTTACATTTTACAGAACTTTTTTTTCTCTCTGTCTTTCTATGCGGGAGGAAGTGTTTTCAAGCTCCCTCAGTTCTGCGCCGTCGGCTGGCAGTCGACTTTTTCTTTTACTTACCGGTTTTTACTCGGAACGTAAACACCGAAACACAAGAGTGACGAAAACGAGGGCTGCACGACAGATTCCATAGCAACCGCAGTGGACGCTTTGACATTGCGGTACTGCACACGTGTACGTCAGAACGTCCGCGGCAGTTTGGATGGTGCCCCGGCGCGATGTCTGTTTTTGTTGCTCTTGTGTTTGGAGCTTTAGACGAGTCTCCGATTAAGAAGTCGACCCGTAGGCGGCCATGATAGCTTTCGTAGATGCTACCGGGGCAACTCCGAAATGAGGAAAAACGAAGAAAGCATGGAGTTATGCGGAAAGAATTACGGCTCTGGTAGAATTTACTGAGTTACGTGGGCGGCGCAGCCACTCGCCATTTCGGTGTACTCAATATATCAGAACTCGGCTTTGCCCTAGGGAAAAATTCAGATTTTCACTTTACCATACCAGATTTGCATTACATACGTTGAAGCGCACTGCATGTTGCATTTTATTCCGAATTTTTTTTTCGATTTCTTGTTCACCGATTTTTATAGCTGACTTGAAGGATCAGTAAACTTTGAGAAGGTCTTTACTTACCTAATCATTAATAAACACTAACTAACATATATTTTTATAACTTAAAAAAAACTTACATTCATGCCGCAATAAGAGACATCAATGTCGTGACTGGAGTCACTGTCGGAAGTTTCTACTTCGGATCCAACAACAGTTGAATGGAGACTAGAAAAATTGAACACAAGTTTAGGAACAGCAAGGAAATACTTTCAGGAACAAAATATTGTAAGCGATTCTTATTTCACATTTTAGCACTTCAAGGACCCAGTATTTTCAAAAATGGTTTGAATGTTTATTTTTCATTTTATGTAAAAACAGCCTCTTGAAGTTATATTATGCATCTTAATCCAGAACCACCCTACTGAAAAAAAAAACATTTGGCGCCTGTATGAAAATAAACGGGTCCATACCGGTAACAGTTTAGCAATAGCGGTCTCTAGTTTGCCAAAGGGGTCGCCCGTATGGCTCAAACGGGTCCCCCGTATGAGCCATAACGGTCACCTATTTGGGCAAACAGGTCACTCCTTTGGCGAACGAGTTACTCGTCTGGGCAAATGGGCCACACTCGTTTGGGCAAAGTTGTCGCACGTTTGCTCAAACCGGTGAACATGTTGCACAAGCGGGTGACCGGTGACCGTCAAACTGTACCGGTTTAATCAAACGGCTCTCAGGAGCCCGTTTGATATTGAACGTACAGATCGGCGGCCTGGGCACGCCTAGCTGTTTGAGCCGTGGCAGCCAATGTTTCCGGGAGGCTGGGAGCGACGGTTCATTGATTTCAGATCGTCCGCGTAAAGCAAGTAACTGTATTTATATTTTAAGTGCGCTGATGTGCGCTTATACTGCAACTAAAACTAACACTTTTCTTTTTTTTTTTTACGTTAACGCACGACATTGGTGAGCCGATATTTTTGACAGAACTTTAAAACTGTCCACCTTTTTTGCCTCAATTTTCTTATTCAGCTCGAATCTCTCTCGCAGAAGACGCGACCGCATAAAAGAATGTACTTCTTGAGTCCGTTTCACTTTATTTCAAGACGCGGCGAAGGTAGCGCGAACACGTGCCTGCAAGAACATTGAACATTGCGAGAGCACGCCCGCCGTTGCAGCAGTCAAATTACGAGCTCGTGCCGGGTGCTTTTTAGGCTCGAGCGCAAGCCGAGCTCCTGGCCGACGCCATTTCCAGCTTGCGTGCTGAAATGCGCGCGTTTCGCCTGCTTTCCAAGGTTGCGAACGCGACGTACAGTGGCAACTCCAAGAGAGGAAAAGTGCGTGTACAGCGGTCCGTGCACCCTCCCCCTAGCATTGACTATTGACTGCATTGCCACAAAAAGCCAACCGCAATTTTTTTTTCTTTTTTTTACATAGAATGCATGAAGAGAGGGTTGCGAGGGAGGGGTGTGGGTTGTCCTGGCGTCTTGCTCCTTGGCCTCGCCGTCGCCCCCTTCCTCCTCTCTGGTCGGCTCTGTCACGTGACCAGAGAGAGGGTAGGGCACGCTCCACGCTGATAAGCATAGCCAGATCCGGCTGCGCGCACGTTGACAGTCGCTTGCTTCTTTGTCTGCTTGTTTTCCGTTGCAACTTCGTTTGTCCTGCCTGCTTCGATCTGCCGCCTTTCCCTGCGGTCTTATAAGAATGTCTCTCGACAACGTATGGGATGTGCACCAAATGTTCGAAAAGTCCTACGCGTATATCGGCAACAAGCGATTCTTCAAAGAAGTCAGAAATTCTAGCGGTTTGGCTGGGTTCGGCAAATGACAGCTTGTGCGCCGCATCGTGTTGAAACTTCAACGAGCCTTCTTTCTGGTTTTTTGTGTTTGTGCGGTTGTCCTGCTTTGACCGTGACGACAAATATCACGGATTACATCTTTCAAGTCCGCTATTATTATGGTAAGTGCACTGCAAAATACGTGTTGGCAACGATTGACCTCTCTTCTATGCGTACTCTTCCAGGTTATCCGTAGAATTATGCAGCGCTTATTCACGCGGCAACCGGGAGAATAATTTCCCCGAAAGTCTAGCTGTATAGTCTAGAATTACCTCGGTTCTTGTTTGCTTTGCAATCTTTTAAGTTGTATAAAAGCTTAAAGTGCCTCGCACATTTCACAGATCGCTTGCACGTTCGTATTTGTCGTCAGAAAAGGTAATAAACTTTGAGGAGAATTGAAAACAATCCTTTGTGTCTGTTTTCCTGTCCATTTGCAAGCACCTACGCAAACGCATTCGTTCTACGTGTTTTCTCCATGTTATAAATACGGTTATGAGTTTCGGGACGTCTTAAATAAGTTTAAAATAACCAAACTCCCAGACAATACCCATTTAGGGCTAGCGAATCCGAATGGCACGTTCGAACGTGAGGTCACGTGTCAGGTCGAACGGGCACCCGTATCAAACGGGCATATGTATCAAGCGGGCAGCTGTATCAAACGGGCATCCGTATCAAATGGGTACCGTTTCGAACGGGTACCGTTTCAAACGGGCACTCGTATCCCATAATCACGTTTGATTCAAACGGGTCGCCAGTTTGAATTTCAAATATTTTTTTTTCAGTAGGGCAGTACTACAATTATAGGTTTTGAAGTACAGCGTACAGAGAAAACCAAAACAGTACAGAGAAAACCCGAAAATGAAGTCATTTTAACCGATTAGGGCAGTACTGGGACGGGATACCCAAAGCAAAAGCGCATCGTCCTCTAGGAACTGATCGTTATAGGGGTAGATTGTTATACTTGGAACCGTTATAAGCCTATTGCACTGTATTCCTTCAAATACTACCACGAATATCCACTGTTTTTCATACAGTGTTAGGTTGAATAGTAATGTCAGACTAAACTATATTTTCAAAGTATAAAACAAATTCTCCGCGCAAATACAATGTTACATAAATTTAAAGAGAGCACATCCGTCACAGCAGCCTTCATTCATGATCCATGTATATGTACACTAGGTGATAATAATGCAATATAGTTTCAAACACATAAGCATTTTATCAGCACCAATTCACGATTAGGGTGAGGCAAAGAAAACAAAGATATTAATTGCCACAAGACCTGTGCTACCATAGAGTAAGGAAATAAGATACAAAAAAAGAAGCACAGTATGGTACGCCATGAAAAGAAATGTCACGTTAGGTTTAGAACTTGCGTCCTCAATGTAGTGATTAATAAAAACATATTGTTTCCGGCATACTGGCACTCCACGGCTTATTTACAGGCATTATATATAAAACGAATTCTGCTTAAAGACCCATTGTGTGGTCTTAGAAATGTGAAAACACGTTCAATGCTGAATTATACTTTAAACTTTTAAGAACTTTTAGTCACATACCAATAAAGAAACCACACGGTATCCCGTCTAATTTGATAAGTACAGTTTTGTGGTAACTATTACGGGTCTTAATATCTCGTCAAACACTTTATTATCCCAGGCTTCCTTGTGCGCAAGTGGTTTTACTGTTTTCTTTTTATCTATCATCATCAATATCGCTGCAATAACACCACACCAGACTGTTTCAAATTCATTAATTGATAGATGAAAGAAAAAGGCTCTTACATAAAACACTTTTTAAGTTAACAGATTTCGTGGTAAAAATATCCCTGTGTTCAGGATACTTTATGCTGGAGGGACACTTCAGTGGTGGCGTATTTAATATTTTAATATATTTATGAATACTAATATGCCTTTTTATGTCAGCCGAATTTTCTCTCCTTCTAAAATCATCACGTTGTGCATGTGACACCCTATGTCAGATAAATTCTATGTCAGTGCGATATAATGCACTCGCTGCGCCAACAAATATTCTCCAGGTTAAATAATGATCATTATTCCCACTTATTCCAAGGTTGACTTTACTTTTCTAAATGAGCGTATTTGTCGCCACTCTAACTTACCCTGCGCCTGAGTTCCGCTGAAGGAATGATATAAGTACGATTAGAAAGACCCCAAATATGTATAAGAAGAGGGCGTGTGTTTGCCACGCATTCGCTCAGAGCTGGCATAATTAGAAATTTTAGAAACAAATTGTGGGGATTCACAGTATTTTCGATTCATATAGGTCGTCCAAAATCTTCAAAATCTTAAACCTAAGATATCTAGAGAAATGAGGCGAAGAGCTTCGATTTAAGTGCTCAAGGAAAGTTTTCATATTTTACGATGAATGATGTTTTATTGTTGAAACTTTAGATCTCTCGGATTAATAAAATAAGAGTATTTAATACACAATAAGTTCGTTTTGTTTTGGTTCATACAAAAGAAAAACAAGGTTAAAAAGCTGCTCCGGCAGCTTGAAGAAGTCCTGAGTCCCTGGCATGGGTTGACGGCAAATGAAACATTAGATACAACAAATTTATTTTCTAAAAAGAAACACAAACACGAGCTCAGTCGCTCGCCAAAATTATATAATGTATACGTCGAAAATGATAATAATGCCGCGCGCCAAGTAGGCACAGCGGCCGTAGCACAACGGTTATCGCGCTTACCTCCCACGCGAAGGGCCAGGGTTCGATTCCTGGCCGCGGCTACGCGTTTTTGTTTACACTGTAATGTGATGTTCTAGTGAATTCGAGAACCGTCTAGCTGATTCGAGGTTAGAATGTTCTCCGCGTCGAACCTTCTACATCGAACGCTCCAGAAGCCAACGCGTGTACAAAAGCGGCTCCGCCTGGCAAGCAGGAGCCAGTCTCGCCCCAGCGTTCGACTCTGCTGCCACGCCGACTTCGAAGCCCGCGACGCTCTATTATTATCTTTTGTGCTCTTTTATTTTTGGCACAAGTTCGCCACATTAAACGTTTATTTCTTTCTGTTTATTTATTGTTTATTGGTCACCACCCGTGACATTTTGGTGGAGGTGCGGGGTACCGCATGCCCGTGCAGCGTTCCCCTCCAAGGGACCGCAGTGCAAGTCCGATTCCCGGTTCGGTGAGAAGACCACTCACCGCAGAACCTGAAATTCGGACCAGCCGCCGCACCAAGGGAGAGGATTCTGAGTACGGTTTGCTCCTGGACAAGCCCAAGCCGCAGAAGACGACGATGGCCAACCAGTCGCAAGCCCCCGCCGCTTCTCCCGTCGTCTACATGCCCGTCGCACCGCGGACGGCTGCCCCCTTCCACGGTGAACTCTACGAAGACGTCGAAGACTGGATTGACCAGTATGAACGCGTTGCCCG